TTTTTAAATATAAAGAGAGTTTTTAATATTAAAAAAAATTTATTTTTATTTAATAATTAATTTTTATCTAATAATTAATATAATATAATTTTATATAATTTAAATTATACTACATTTTCACTCCTTTCTTTCTTTTTTTAGTGATTATATGTAAGCTCTACTCTTTGTATTTAATGCAATGTAAATCAAGAGACTTCTATGTAATAATATTGATACGGTGTGACTTTGGTAAAAGGTAAATTACCATGTGTAAAAAAAAATTTATTACCTTATTTATAAAAGGCTTTTTTAAACCTAAAATGTGATAAATATATTTTTAATAAAATAAATATATATTAAAAATAATAATTAATTTTTAATTTATTAATTATTTAATTAAATATATGTAATTAATATTAACATTTAAATTTATATTAATTTTCACTCTTCTTTTTAACACATCTATAACAAAAACATACCTATAAACACAGGACAGGAATACCGATTTTATGAAAGAAAGTCCTTTCCGTTTACCTCTGCACCAGACCTCGGTTCTTCTCCAATTGTGAATGGATACCACGCCCACTCCCACCCTCCATTTCTTATAGAACAAATGAAAAAATCCATCTAATAAAATGATACCCATCATCAGGAGGCCTCGCTTGGAATCCATCGTCTCCATATTCGTTACCGTGCATTCTCACGAGATCCCTGCACTGCTTTCCTCCGCCTCCTGTTTCTTCTTTGTAAGAAAGAAAAGACATCGCCATCCTAATTTATCCTTTTATTTGATACCCAGTTTTGTTTATTCAATTTTTATCAAGTTCAATTTCAAAAGTTTTGATCTTTTGTTGCAGATATTGAGTGCATATTTCGTGGTACTGCCATTGCGCGATGAGGGAGCTATTTCCCTGGGAATATCCAACTTGCCGAGTCTGTTTGTTGGGTCTCTAGTGCTCACTTTGATAGCTGCCCCTCTTTCTACTCTCATCTTCTCATTGCCTAATTTCTCCAAATCCAAGGTATGTTTGCATTAATAAGTTCTGCTTAATTTCTTCTTCTTCTTTTGCGTAATTATAGAATTTCAGCAACATTGAAAGATGAAATTCTTAAGAGATAGTGGCCTACAAATAGTACATTATGAAATGTTTGATACTGAGTTGTGTTTCCTGGGGTTCATGCTTGGTCGTAATACAGTGCAAATTGTTGCTCTCTTATTTCCTTTTTAAAATATGAAATTTCATTTTTCTGATGCTGGGTTATGCTTACTGTTTTTTTTTTTTTTGGTACATCTGATGATGGGCTATACAAGAGGGGATAGCCCTCCCCTTTTCCCAAATCCCTCCCCAGCCTGAGTTATGCTTACTGTTGTTTTTCTGCAACATGTTCATTGTTCGGTAATTGGTGCATCTTGAAATTTCAGGCTTTGGTTTTGATACACAGATTTTTTAGTATATCACTTGTTCTGTTCTTCATCCTATGGCGTTCCTCCTCTGTGGAGTATTTACAGTCTAGATCACAGGTAGAAAAAGAAGCTCATTATGTGGTTTTCTTTCTGTTGTATGATTCTCGTTGTATGGGAATTATCATTTTTTACTAAAATGTATTGCCAAGCGTTTGTAGGATTCAGTTTTGTTACCTTCTGAACTAAAGGAGGATTTGAAAGTTGATGCTGATCAAGCCAGTCCTTTTAATTCAGTTGGATGGGGAAATCATGGTTCGTTTTATATTTCTGTGAGAATTGGATTGTTTCTTTGGGTAAGACAACAGCTGAGCTATTTGTCATGAGTTTTAGCTGCCAACTATTCTTATTTTTAGGTTATGATGGAAAAATATTTTCGCTTTTGAAGGTTGCGCTGCTTAATCTCATTACTATTTCTTCAACTTGGGTTAGAATAATTGATATCATGGACAGTGAGGTATCTACACTTTCACCTTTTTGTCTTAGAAGACCATGGTTTTCTGTGTGCATTAACCTTATGTTTTGGATTCAGTCAGGCTCACGGCTGTTTGGTTTCATTGGTGCCGGTGCAACACTTGGCCAGCTTTTTGGGTCTTTGTTTGCCACAGGAATGGCTTGGTTGGGACCATGTATGTTGGCCAGTCAATTATCCGCAAGTTCTACTTTATAATATTTTGGTGCTTTTACTAGTTTTCCATTGTTGTTCTTAAGTGGATTGTTTTGTTGTAGTTCTTCTCCTGTTTGCTGCTGTTTTCATGGAACTAGCTGCACAGTCATCCAAAGGGATCAACAAAGATATACCCCACTCCCCTGAGGAATTATCTCCCATCAGGTAAATTTGTTTTTACCATTTCCTTGTTGCTGTGGTTTTGCAAAAGCTGCTATTGATATATGGGATTGAAGTTTTTCTATTTTGAATGGACGTATGTGTTCAGGGAGGGGGTGGCACATTCTTTATTGGTACTTAGAACCACATTAGAAAACAAAAGCTTAAGTTGTTAGTCCATGCGATTCTTTTGCTAGCGACATGTAGTGATTTTAAGGATATATCTTCATATTTTCTAACTTGATTGCTTTTAGTTTTAGAACTACTAACTCAGACCAACGAGATGATGCTGATCCGCAAGTCACATCTGGTCTCAGAGATTATCCCAAATTGACTACCTCTAGAGCAAAACCTCAGCTTTGGGCCATCTTAGATGGACTCCTACTTATTTTGTCATCAAACTATTTGTTGCATGTGTCTTTATTCCTCTGGCTGAGTGCAGTTGTCTCCTCATTCTTCTATTTTCAGGTAAAATAGACCACTTGGCCCATATATTTTGTTTGAGTTTTGTGTTTTGCATGCATGCTATATCTCTTATTTTGACAACTTTCCCCTCCCTCCTTTTGTCATTTGCAGAAAGTGAATGTAATTGCCTTGACTGTTGCAAGCTCCGTCGGCAGAAGAAAATTGTTTGCCCAGATTAATAGCTTTATTGCTGTTTTTATCCTTACTGGACAACTTAGCTTAACGGTAATTTGCTGTTCTGATGAGATTAAAAGTGTGTTTTGAAGAAGAAAATTAATTATTCTCTTTCACTTATTAAAGGGGCGCATTCTTACTGTTGCTGGGGTTACAATGGCTATATGTTCAGCTCCATTTGTTGCCTTATTAAATCTGGTTTCTGTTGCTGTATGGCCAACTTGGATAGTTGTTGCTATTTCTGAGACCCTAAGAAAGGTTTGCTACCATTTCCTGTTTCATTTTTTTCTCCTTTTATTTTAGCTTTTTGCTTAGTTATGTGTCATTTTTTTAGCACTTTGTATGTGCACTGCTTTAGATTAATTCATGTTTCAGATATGCAATTTCCAAGTGAAATGGAGATAGCTTAGGAAGGCATACAAGCAATTGCAGGCCATTTATGGCATTGGTGTGAAGTAGATCTGATGGTTTGATTTTTCATTTTTAGGTTGTTACTTATGTTGTAACCAGGCCTGGAAGGGAACTCTTATTTACTGTTGTATCAGAGGATGAGAAATACAAAGCAAAGGTATGCAGCATATCTTGGCCTTATGTTTTCATATTTGACTCTCATACAGTAGATAGTGAAATTCCTACTCTTTTAGAGCATGTGTGCAATAGCCCTAAATATTCAAAACAGGGCTTCATGCATGCAATTTCATGATCCTAATGCCGTATTTCAAAGGACTATCTTATACCACATTTCCTTTCCATTTGCATTTGCCCACAGAATGTTCAAAGCACCATATAATCTTTTGTTTCTCCACAAACATGATTTGGCAGGTATGTATAGATGTGATTGTCCAGCGACTTGGGGATGCAACTGCAGCAGGATTGTACAAACTTCTTCTCAGCACTCTGAATGGGAAAATATCAGCAGTTGCTATCTATGCCGTCCCAGTATGATTCAGCACCTTTCAACCCTTTATAATGCGCTTGTTCAATGATGTTATAACATTATTTGCTATTTCTCTCAATGAGCACCTCAAATTTAAACCTGCCTGTGTTTATTTTTTTTGCTTCTATATTTATTTATTTAAACTCTTTTGTTCATCCTAGTATAATGGAGGTTGTCTGTCATTTCTCTGTGTGCTCCAGGTTTGTTTATTGTGGATATTCACTGCATTCCACCTGGGACGCAAACAAGGGCAATTAGCAAAACTGCAGGGCATGTCATCATCCTGAAATGTTGTTGAAGATGACTCTTACTCAAAACCTAAGATGAGGGAGATGAAGCCCTCTTGTATTCATTTTTCATAGTAATAGTTAGTAATAGATGTATTATTAATGATTTATTTAGTAGTATTTAAAAGATGAATCCATTCCAACCCACAAATTAATAATTCATTTTGGGTCCCCAGTATATTTTTTAAAAAAAGATTTAAAAGATTTATTAATAATCAAAGATTACGTAAAAATTGTAATAAATTTAGTAGTATAACCATAACAAAGCAAAACTAAACTAATATTATTACTAATAGATGATTTTGCTTAAGAAATATAAGAATAATTAATCACAAAGATTCATAAGTTATTTGAGACTATATAAGAAATTGTTATGCTGCCTATTAATTGTATTACCAATTAAAAACTACTCCCTTTCTCTATTCTTATTTCAAGGTGCCATCAACAAAACAAAATAGGTTAAATTTTAAAATGGAAAAAATAAAATAAAATAAAATAAAAACCTCAAACTCTTCCTTACAATGCAACTCTCTATCTTAAGATGATTTGACCACACGAGCCTTTGTTTTCATTTACCATATTGTCCTTGCAACTTTTCTCCCTTTTATTTTTGGCAAAATATGACATAAGGACCCAAACTTACACAAAATTTGCAATTTTGGACCCAAACTTCAATTGCGCTCAATGAAGGTTCCGAACTCCATGAAATTCTCAAATAAGGTCCAATTGGACGGAAAACTAACTTCTGTCAAATCTCTTACAAACATCGTTAACACCGTTAATCTCTGTCACGCTACCCAACTGTAACGCAGCTGGAAAAAAAAATTATGATGACATGTCAATTATTTTGCCATGTGGATGCCATGTGGATATGAATTTTTGGATTGTCTTGGGCGGGACATTCCCCTCTAGGACTCTTTTCTTTTTGGCAACTTTTTTCTTTCCCTCCCATTAAAATCTCTCGATTCGCTCTAGCTTCTAAGACTATTAAAGTCTGAGACAGAAAAAAAAAAACCCTATTTCTTTTTCCCTGCAATGTTGTCTTGGTATCTTTAATGACCCATTGACTGGAGATATCATTTTGGATGTACGAGCATTATTGTCACTTGAGATTTTATTTTATTAAATCTGGTGTATACATGTATAAGTATATATATATATAATTTTTCTTTTTTGCTTATGTTCAATTATAAAGGTTTTGATTTTAACAATGGTGACTTATGTGGTTTTTTTTTTTCATAAAAAATCATGAAATAGCCTGGACATGCTTTTGAGTTGTTTGTTTCAAGTGGCAGTCAAAGGGAAAGAAGAGGAATGCAACAAGAGTTTAGGGAGATTGGGCCAAGGATTGAAGTTGGAGAAAGCTCAAAACAGGGGAGCAAGAGAAATGGGAGACATGAAAATGGGATCCAGATTTCTGGGAAGAAGAGAACCTCAAAAAAACAGAAAATTGACTCTACTGTGTTATTTTGCTTAAGTCTACTGGTATTTTTGTTAGAATGTATTTTGGTCTTTTGTTTAAGTCTAATGTGTTCTTTTATTTATGTATAATGTTACTGTGGTATTCTATCTTTTATTAGAATGTATTCTGTTCAAGTACCAATGTATTCTGGTCTTTTGCTTAAGTTAAAATTGGTAGTTTTGTTAGAATGGATTCTGGTCTTTTGTTTAAGTCTACCATGTTCTTTTATTTATGTCTAATATCACTGTGTTCTTTTATTTATGTCTAATATCACTGTAGTATTCTATCTTTTGTTAGAATGTATAATGTTCTTTTACAATGTATTTTGGTCTTTTGTTAGTTTGATATATTGTAAACTTGCAAAGAATGAGAATATACAAAATAAACACTTTTCATTTCTAGAAACTATCATTACAAATCGAATGTCCATTTCCAGAAATTGTGATTACAGGTGGGATGGCCATTTGGTCATCTTACATTGACAAAATAGAAGCAAAACAACCACTTCCTATTGCACTACACAAAATGGCCATTTGGGCATCTTACTGAGTAAAATAGACAACATAAATTGGCTGTTATTGCACCTCACTTCAACAAAACCAGACAAGCAATGAAAAAAAAAAAAAATAGTCCTATAAAAATTCAAACTGAATGCATCTAGGCTTCCATTCTCTTCTATTTTTTCTGGCATTCCTTCTTTGCTGTCCATTCCACAGATACACTTTGCTCCACCACCACCTTACTGCAATACTCAAATAAGATTCAAAACCAAATAAACCTGAAATGTGATAATTAATTTCAAGAACAATTACCAAATACCCTTTACTAACTTGCCAAAATGGGCATTTGTAGTACCTTCTTCTTGGGTTTAACTCACTTGTGCTAACATGAAGCCATGCCGCTAATTCATGATCACAAACAACTTGTCTAGCACCAGATCGATCCACAGAAGGTCGAAGAGAAAGGGTAGATGCTGAAGATGAAGCCTTGGACTTCATCTTGGTTTCAGGACAAAAATCGAGGACTTTAAAAATGTTTTGCTCCACCTCACCTGCACCTCCACCTACGCCCCTGCTTCGACTATTGAGCTCTACCTTCACCTCTGCCTTTGCCTTCTCCTCCCCTATTTCAAACAAATATTTCAAGACAAAAATGGGAAAAGATTTCAAGATTTGTAGGCTTACAAACTCCTCTGGGTAATGGCTTCCTTGCACTTCTTCTTGATCTTGGTCATAGCACTGCTACCATCACCGTCTCATTTTCCAAAGAAGTCACCATCTCCGTCTCATGCAGTCAAATCAAATTGCCAGCTTCTACACTGCCTTCGTCAAAAATGACGACTACTCCACCCACTGCCGAACCGTCTCCATCTCCGTCTTCAATCTCTTCGACTCCTACAGAAGATTGGTAGGAAATTGCAAGGGGGTAAAATTTCCAAATTAGAAATTTTCTAGATGAGAAATTTTCCAGATCTAATTTGCGGTTTCAAGAACAAAGAGTGAAACATGTTAAAATTAGGGATTTTATCCCTAATTCGTGGGAATCCTTGGTCAAAAAGACCAAAAGGCCCACCAGTGGGTTCCATTTATTCGTGTAGTTAAAAATTCATGTGCACATGGCATCCACATGGCAAAATAATTGACATCTCATCATAATTTTTTTCCAGTTGTGTTGCAGTTGGTTGGAGTGTGACAGAGATTAACGGTGTTAATGGTGTTTGAAGGAGATTTGACGAAAGTTAGTTTTTTGTCCAATTGGGACCTTATTTGAGAATTTCGTGGAGTTCAGGACCTTCATTGAATGCAATTGAAGTTTGGGTTCAAAATTGTGAATTTTGTGTAAGTTCGGGTCCTTATGTCATATTTTTGCCTTTATTTTTCCCCAAAAGATTGACTATGTTCTCTTCTCCCCGATCAACAAAACTTCTTTTATCACCA